GGCAGGGCGGGGCCTCCGAACGGACAGAGGCCTGCCATGGCGGCAGGCTGGGGACACACCCGCCCTTGTTGGCACAGAGGATCTGCACTCAGTTCGCGGCACCGGCTCTCCTGTGCTACCCAGAGCTGGGAAGGACCCTGCTGGCTCTGCACTGATTGGCTGGCAGCTGAGAGAGCCTCGGCCCCCGGGGGGAGAGAAATGGGGCCCAGGGAGGTGTCCTGTGTGGTGCCCACAGGCCTGGAAGACCTACCCTTGCCACGTCGGGCGTCTTTAAGCAGTCCCACGCCCCCTTCCCAGCCCCTGCTCAGCTGCCCATGAGAGTCCATCTGTGGTCCAGGAGGTGCCCATGGCCACCACCCTGGCTGCTTCCCTCTGAGGAAGGGGCAGCATCACTCACCCAGGCTCACGGGCCCCTGGCTGGCTCAGGGGTTTCTCCACAGATAGACTATAAAGTGCAACCCCCCAGTGCCAGCTCCTCGGACAGGGTCATAGAATCGCCCCCAACTCGAACCCGGGGCAGAGGGGGGCCCTGCCTGGAAGGCTACCCCCACAGGACTGTCCATCTTCCATGCAGCCCCTTGCCCGGCCAGCAGCATGAGCCCAGCCGTTCCTGTGGGCGCTAACCTCCCCCTGCCCTGGGCCCCCTCCAAATGCCCCGCCCCTCATGAGTCAGCGGCAGTCGTCCCGCCAGGGGGGGACCGACCCCTTTGTGGAAAGGGCTGGGAAGTGACGGTCCCACACCAGCATGTGCTGGAACCCCGGGGCTCCTGTCAGCCATGGGCCCAGCAGCTGCCAGGGCTACTTTGCCCTGCCCCTCTGGCCGGGGAGCGTAACGCTCAGAGTCGTTTCCGGCTGAGCCAGGTTTCCTGAGTATCCGTCCCGGCATCTCCCTGCGAGGCCCTGCCCAGCACCGCATCACCACTTCCCCTCAAGGCTGCTGCTCCACCCTCCCGAGTGCCCCCCCACAGGAAATCGTCACCTCTCGGGCTTCCCCAAGCCAAAGCATGTTTGACCATCCCCAGCTGCAGGGGCCGGGCACCAGCCCTACACCCGTGACCCTAAGCCGGCACAGTAAGCCCAGAGGCCCAGGTGAGGGCCTGGGGACTAGCCGTGGTCACAGGCTATCAGACCAATTCCCCATCTCCAGCTCTTCTTCCCACACAGCTTCGGCTTAGGTGAGGTCACTACGGCAGAGTAGGCCTAGGGGCCCCCTTCGCTGGTAAGCGCAGCGGGGGTGTGGACCAGGGCTCCGCCTGCGGCAAGTCTACAGTGGGCCCAGCCCCGTTGAGAGCAACCTCAGGGCTGCTCTAAGCTGCACCAGTTGCTAACTGTGCCCAAGAAACAGTTTGTCAAGCAAGGGCGAGGTGCAGCACGGCACCTGCACAGCTTCCTGCAGCAAAACAGCACCTGACCTGCTCCTCCCCCCGCGGCCCGTCCCACCCGCCCTGCCTTGCTGCCATCTCCTCAGACAGGAAAATGGTGCTAAAGGGATGGGCCCAGTCCCATCCCAGCTCTCCTTGACAGGAGGCCCTGCCCCCACGGTCCTTGCGCTTGCCCCAGGCTGCAGCACCCTTAAGACCCAACCCGTAAGGCCTTTGCTGAAGCAGAAGTTGGAGAAATCCCTCAAGTGGCAGGTGGGGGTAGGGAGGGAGAGCCGCGACCCTCTCCCCAGAGCACCTGGGGCAGTAATGCTCCTGAGCCAGCCATGCAAAGCCACGGCCCCATGGGAGGCTCAGGCCAGCTCCCCCAGGCAGGGTGCCGGCTACTCACCCCACATCAGTCCTTCCCATTGTGCATGGAGAGGCCCTCCCCACCCCATCCATAGGGACAGGAATGAGCCCGGCGGTGCCAGTCACACTGGGAGCAGTGGTAGCGACATGTTCTGCCTGGGGCACTGTGGAAGACGCTCCTGTGTTCATGGACTGAGGACTCCGTGCCTGGTTCGGCTGCTGCCCCATTAAACACAGCGACTCTGTCCCGTGTGCCGTTGCCAATTTGTCAAAGTCGTCCAATGTCTTGGTACCGCTCTAGGATTGCCATAGGCTACGGCCAGAAGGGAGCGCTGGTCATCTAGGCTGGTGTGCACAGAACTGCACCCAGGAGGGATGTGAACAGTTAAGCGGGTGATGCTTACCAGTAACCGGTTAACCAGCACCCAGGAGCTTGACAAGCAGCTCCCCAAAGCAGAGCAGGTGGCAGTTCAGTGTCAGAGTGGGGAGGGGTCAGAAGAGGGGCTTTTGCAATCCTTCAAGACTAAAGCTGTGCAGGAAACTAACACTGCACCTGCTTTGTGAACGGAGCAGGCCCGCATTAGACTAAAACTCTCAGGAGCCAAGTTTAAAAGGCAGCAAGGCAGCCCACTCACCAGACACACAGTGGGTGGCTCTGCAATTCCCCGGGCCAGCAGATTGGCACCAAGAATCAGCTCGCAGATCTTCCCACCAGTCAACTGGCACCAACTCGCTGTACTTTGACCAGTCCCTTCAGCCCCGTGACTCAGTTTCCCCTCTGCAAGGTGTTTAATACTGACCTACTGCAGGTGGGGAGTTGAAGGCTGTGTGGGTAGCCTGTGTTATGCCAGGCCATGGCAGGGCACCGTACATCACTGATCAGTACTAGATGCCTGTCACGTATCCGCCTCAGCACTAGGCTAGGCCAGGGCAGCCACACTAGACTGAACACTCAATTTAGGCAAAGTGAGGACACCTTATGGCAGAGCAACTTAGAAGGCCAGCGGAACTAACTCCCCCTCTCTTGTGAAAACTCAGTGGTCTCGTCAGTGACAAGGGGCCATCTTCCCTCTCATTTGGAGAGGGCCCCTTCTGCCACCCAGCCTGCCTGCCTGGCCCCAGCAGGCCTTAGGTCAGCACCTGCGAGGGAGTCGCATCCCTATGGACTAGCAGAGACAGGTACATCTTGAACAAGTCCCACTGGTCAGCGGGTGGGAACGCAAGATCAGGAGCCCACCACTCTACAGAGTAGATCGAGCCTTCCACCTTGATCCACACAGGTGAGACCACATCTTTGCCAGGCAAGTCCCCAGCTGAGCCAATTAGCACTAACGAAGACAGGGCTGTGGGAGGGGAGGGGACAGACAAGGACGCTACATGAACCCTATGGGGGCATTCCTCACTGCAGTTCATCCGGAAGTCATTGCATTTGTATGAAAAGATTGTCACAGGGAGCCCAGGGAACAAGTCAAGCATGGAAGCCAAGTGGGACACAGGGCTGTGCCAGGCTCTATTAAATCTCAGGCCATCACATGCAGTTTGACCACAAGCCAGGCCACTAACTGGTTCCAAGCTCCATTATGCCTGACAAGGAGGCCAGCTCTTCCCCCCAAGATCTCCGTGCCAGCTCCTGGCACGTGACGTGGAAAGACGGGACAGAGGAGACGGGTGGGTTGGATGAATGTGTTTTATCTATGGTGGCAAAAAAACAAAAACAAAAAACCCCAAACCAAAACACAAAGGTTCAACCATGTAAAAACAAGTGTTGTTAGCAACAGCGAGTCCTGCGAGCGGAGCCCCAGACCCGGCGGCCACGATTTGTTGCTGTGCTGCCTTTAAAAAATATAATTTAGCCCAGGCACCCCCCCCAACCATGATCATCGTGGGAAAGCTTTTCAACCAATGCTACACGGGGTGAATTTCCAGTGTCACCTTGAACGCAACCATCGCCCCTCCCCCAATGTTAACAGGTGGCAAGTGGGTACCAATACTGCAATCTGCCCTGACTGCAGAGCCAGGAGGCTGCACTGCCCCCCCTCCTTCCCAGGGCTGTTTCAGTGACGAGAGATTTTCTTCCCTTTGTGGTCAAAACTGTGCAATCCAGGCTTCCTATGCGCAACAGCCCCTCCCCACCCCCGTCCTGGCTGCCCTGCCCCTCCAGCCCAGCGACAGGGAAAGCCTGGAGCAGGCTGGCCTGCGAAGCGGCGGCTGTCGTCTCCTTTGTGATCAGTGGGACATGTGGGCTATGTACAAGTTCGGTGGCGGCGTGGCGCCGATCGAAGAGAGGAGAAAGCAAGGGAGAGTGAATGGAAGCAGCGGGCGCGCGCGGGCGAGCCGGCTCACGGGATCCCAAACTGTACAACCAGTTCTTCTTTCGCCTCCACGCGGATCTGCGAGAGCGCGCTGAAGGCATAGGCGGCTATCCGGGAGACCTGGGGACAGAAGCAGGGCAGCAGCGTGAGTGACAGCTCGGAGGGGGAATGCTCTCCCAGACAGGCCATTCCAGCCAGACCAGAATGAATCTACAGCCCATGAGAACGGGGGGTCCCATCCCAAAGAGCACCCCCCCCCCCAGGGCATCTCAGCAGAGGCTACTGATCATACCCTCCCGGCTGCGGGCCCATCAGCAAGGGCAGCATGGGTGACGCTGGCACTGCCAATACTCCGGCCACACATTAAGAACAGCTGGGGACACCATTTATTGTGAGGCTGGGAAGCGAAGCCCCCAGTGGGCATGGAGACAGCTCCAGCCCAGCCATCACCTTCACGCGATCCAGTAACATTCACACACTGCCAGGGGAAAGGCAAACAGAACAGGTGCAGCCGTCACACCAGGATCGCCCCGCACCGAAGCCTATGAGGCCTCCCGAGTGCCCTAGAGCCAGAGGAGAGGAGAGAAGCCACCCCCACCCTTAGTCACAAGAGCTGACCAGACAGAGCCTGCCAGTGGGGTACCTCTGCCTCCCGGGAGTTACCGGTTGGGACCTCCCATTATCCCCACAGGATGGCTTGCCTGGTGAGACCACATTTGCCATGATGCATCAGTCTTCCCTCTGGCTGTTCCATTAGGAGGCATCCTGGGAAATGTAGTCTCAGCCCATAGATGCAAATGGGGGAACAAGGCACCCAAACTACAACTCCCATGAGGCATTGCAGCAGCTCAAAAGACTGTGGTGAGCAGACCAGAGCTAATCCAGATTTGGAAGTTCCAAAACACTGCGCTGATCCCAGAGTACCACGCAGCGGCTGGACATTTTGGAACGGGAGGCCTTGAGCGTGAAAGCGAGGGCTGAAGCTGCCCACCAAGCAGAGCCCTGCTGCAAAACGTCCTGTTTAATCAAAAACCAGACTCGTGTTTCTTGGCAGGAGCTTTCCAACAGCTCTCCCCCACCTCTCACACAACTGGCTGTGGGCTCCATGCTCGGGGCGAGCGGTACAGACCCTCCGACCACCACTAGAGGGCAAGAGGCTTCCAAGGTGAGGGGACTGTGGAACCCAACTCAGAATGCACCCTATGGGCGCTGTGCATCCTGGGGCAGCTTGTTACCACACGGGAGCTACCAGCAGGGCCGACAGCTTCCGTGGGCTCTCGAGCAAAGTGGGGAGGCCTGGCCCTGCACCCCCAGAAGGGGCAGGGGCTCAGGCAGAAGGGGTGGGGCTGTGGCAGCCAGGGCTACAGGGCTGCGTGGAGTGGTGTTCCAACAGCAGTGTAAAGGGCCCGGAGCTCCAGCCTGGCCCCTTTGAATCGCCAGCCCCAGGACAACTGCCCCTCCCCCTCCCACACCTCCTGCGCCATCAGTGGGCCTGGAGCGACATTTCCAAAAACAGCAGCAATGGCGTTTGAGATTATCTGTGGGGAAGTACCAGAACCTGACAATGGTACAAGCTTTCCCCGGGAGGGCATCTCGCATGACGAGAATGCGGCCGTGTCTGGAGGGGGAGGAGGCAGCTATTTAGTGCTGCACAGGACGGGAGAGGGACAGTGTATCTGCAGTATTTGTAGCCTACTCCCAGTGGGACAGCGCCTCCACCACTGGGCTGGAGGAACGATATGCAACAAAAGCCATCTCCCAAGACAGGGCCACCTTTTGTTCCCTGCCAGTAACTGACCCCGTTTAGGCAGAAAGCTGCTGATAGCAGGGGCCGAGGCAGGACAGACTCAGCACATCTCTGGTTCTAGAAGCCAGGCTAATCGGAAGTCATGCCCGCTGCTCAGCTGGGCGGACGGCAAGAGGGCTCAGGGGATGAGAGTGTGTGTACATTCCTGAACCCTGCTCTTTAACAAACCAGCCCCTCCTGCTACTAGCCAGCCTCAGCTAGCAGTAGGTAGCCGCAGGGCTTAGAAAGCAGACTCTGCAGCCTGCTCGTGCGCTTGCTGCTAAATACCGATCAGCAGGGTCCTGTGAGCGCTGCGCAGCAGGCATGTGGGCTGGGAAGCACTAGCCGGCACAGTGATTTACTGAGCCAGCGGGGAGTCAATAAGACCAGCTGCATGGTGAGGCAGGTGGAGCGCCGTTACCACGGCAGGGACGCACCGATGGGAGTGGTTTAAAAAGCTAACGTATGGCCCGGGGGCCACGTAAACCCCAAGGCGTGTTTACACTGGACAGCCAGCTTCGTTCTGCTCAATCCCACGCACCTCACTAGCCAATGGGGATGTGAAGGTAACCAGTAAGCACGGCCTTACTGGCATGCTTACTGGGGTAACCGGTTAATCAGCATCCAGCCTGGCTGGAGGAGACCCCCACCTGCTACAGGGGGCCCAGCCTTAGCAGCCCCCCACTCATGGCACATGGCAGGCAGATGCTGCTCCAGCCCAGCTGGGCCCATTGCGCTGTGGGGGGCTGCTTCAGTACCCCCCATTCCCAACAGGCCAGGGTGGGGGCTGCTGACCCACAGAAAAAAAAGCCAGCTGAGGGCTGCGCACACATGAAAAAAAAACTCACTGAAGTGGCCCCAGACTGAGAAGGAGAAACACTCCCCTCGCACACCAGAGCTGGGGGCCCAGCTAGTAGATGTGTGCTCCAGCCCCACAGAGGGATGTTGTGCGTGTGGGGAGACGGAACTAGAGCACTAGTGCAGGCTCTCCGATGCTGGGGAGTGGAGGGCAGACCCACACCTCATGGACCGGATCCAGGCAAGCTGAGGACTGCATTTGGCCTCCGGGCCTTAGGTTCCCCACCCCTGCGACAGGCAGCGAACCAGCTGAACTATTGGTTTAACTGGTTAACACATTACACAGGATTTTACATCCCTACTAGCCAGCTGACCCCGGCACGCAGCTCTCACTGGTTGTGTGTTCTGACCCAGACAGCAATGGAAGGCACCAAAACAGGTCAGCCAGCTCGAGACACACGCCGGCAGCAGGTCTGAGTCACTGACTGGAGTGACATCAGCGCTTTTCCTCTTTGCGTTTTTGAGCCAGACTCCAGCTCTGGGGTCTGTTCAGCAACACGAGACCGGTTCCCCAGTTCCAGTGACACCCGTGCAAAGCCGCTGAGAGCGCCGCGATGGCGTGGGCTCCGACTAGCCGACGCGATGCACAGGGAGGGAAGAGCCCGCTCTGGCTCTCCCATCCCAGGGCAGTTTGCAGCGACAGCGGTCGGAGACGTAGCTGCACTGGAAGGGAACTCTGAGGGCAGGCGAGGGGACTCTCGGCCTCTGGTACCCAAGGGAGGGCATGAGCCTGGCTCCTTACCTGCTGTAAGTCTGGATAGGGGACAGTCTCACTTGCTAGCACTTGGTGCGGTTGGCTGGTGAGTGACGGCAGAGGCGGCAGCTTCTTCCAGTGCGTCAAGTTGTTGCTCAGCATTGTTAGTCGCGTGCTAGAGCCGGGGCAGAGCAGAGAGCCGGCAGTGAGCTTCCCGTGGGCCCAGTCAGCCCCAAGGGCGGCACGAAGTAACCGCCCCCTCTGCAGGGCAGCCAGTGGGAAAGGGGGGCAGGCCCCAGATGCTGAGTGCGTTCACGCAGCACAGTGACCAGCCCTCCGCTGTGGACCCTCCCAGCCTTCCCTCAGAGGCAGAACACAGACCTTCCTCAAGCAGGAGCAGGCATGCCAGGCATGGGAGGCCTGTCCCAAGGGCCAGCCACGCACAGCTGCCAAATACCCAGCTCAGCAGGAGGCTAGGGGGTGCCTCCAGTGGCGCAGTGGATAAGGTACCTGCTGCCAGAGGTCACAGGTTCAAGACCCAACACCCCCGGGGGACAGCCACCCACAGCTTGGGTCCTTTGCTGCCATCTGGGAGATGCCCAGTAGAGCTGGGCTTTGTTCTGAGTGGACTGGACAGTGGTTGATGGAAACGGCAGGGCCTGGCTCTCAGCCATGACCGAGGGTGCCCAGCGCGGCTCTTGGCATGAGGCCGGGCCGGGCGGCTGGAAATGCTGCTCTACATGAGGACACAAGGTTGCTAGATGGGAGCAGTCCCCTCCTCTGCAAGTTGCCATATCTCCTGCCACGCGGGAGGCTTTGCTGACAGCTCTGGGATGCTCACTTTCGGAGGCCTCCCCACTAGCCTGGGTGCTGTGACTCTCAGCTGGGATTCCCTGGCCAGAAACCGCTGGTCCCCACAGGGCCTCGGGAGGGACCACTGCTGACGGGGCACGTTCCAGCACCGGTTCTTCCACCTTCTCAGCCGCCCCCCCGCCCGGGGAAAGTCCATTACCTGTACTGCCTGGCTCTGTCCATGTACTCATGCTGCTCCATTCCCTGGGAATCTGCAGCCGACACATCGATGATGTTACTGGGGAAAGACACAAGATGCAGGTTTGGCTGTTGTCACCGGGCGGCTCTTGTCTAGGCTCCACAGCCCCCCCACCCTTGCCTTGGATCAAACCCCTGCCACAGCAGAGCGCCAGGCAGCGCAGCGCCATTAGCAAAGCCTGCTGCTCTGCAGTTGGAGGCAGCAGCCCTGTGTCTTGGACAGCTTGGATCTATGATGACGCTAAGTGTCCAAGCAGCATGGCAGCTGGCTGACTCGAACCAAGACCCCTCACTGCACAGCTCACTAGCTCCCGAGTCAGACTCGGCCTGCAGCCCTACATGGCTAAAGCGAGACACTGACAGTCCCACCTCTGACACAGCCTGGTGCTGTAGCCTTGGGCATGTCACTTCACCTCTGCCCCAGCTGCACAGCAGGGATGATCTCTCTCTGCATCACATGCATTGTGAGGAGGCAGTGCTTGGAGATCCTCAGTGGCAGGTGCTGAGGACAGACACCCCTTCCCCTCCCCCATTTTACAGCTGGGCAGGGGGAAGTTAAGCACCTTGCCAAGGCCAGAAGGGCTCAGGGGTTCCTTAGTTCTCGCACAGTGGCCGTGACCGGGGAGAAGAGATTCAAAGATCCAGTCCAGCAGGAAGCAGGCCAGAGAATCCCACCCAGCGATTTCTGCAGAAAGCCTGCTCTGGGGGGACCTTGTACCCCCATGAGAACAGCACAGATCCCAGCTCAGCCACTCTGCTGCCTTATCCCCCTCCCCATCTGGTCCCTTCTCAGCTGGCCGTCCCGCAGGAATACCGCCTAGAACCTTCAGTAACTACACTCTGGAGCTAGAAAAGCCTCCTCCTGACCCAGCGTGACGAGCCCAATCAGCAGAGCCCTGCAAGTCCGCAGATACCTGCTTTAGACCTGCGGATCATTTCTGCGGATGCAGAGGTGGCTACAAATGTATCCACACAGGGCTCTACAGATCAGCCCTAGTTTTGCAGCCCACAATGGAGCCATATTTGATGCACTGTCTACAGTCATTACTCTTCATGGCCAAGCACCTTGGGACTCCTGCAGGCTGCATTATAGCTAGAGTGACACACCCGGAAGCTTGTACAGAAGCCAGAGGGGAAGAATTGTAGATTCTCTGCACAATTGCCATGGTCTGTGCAACTTAAGCTTCCCTAATGGAGTGAAAATGCAGGGCAGGCTGGGTTGTGCAAAGCATATAGGGCACATGGGAGAAAGAGGAAGTTGATAGTAATGAATAAGTCACAAGTTCGAAATTGCAGACAAAGGAAGCGAAGAGACAAAAAACAAGAACTATACGGCTCGCAGAGTTAAGGACAGTAAAAAGGCTGGTTTTTTAAATTTTATTTATATATGTGGAACAAAAAGAATCCTGAGAGTAGTACTGGCCAATTACAAGATGGAAATAGTAGAATCAATAATAATGCAGAACACATTTGGGAAGTATCAGAGGGGTAACCATGTTAAGTCTGAATCCGCATAAACAACGAGAACTCCTGTGTCACCTTACAGACTAACAGATTTATCAGAGCATAAACTTTCATGGGCGAAGACCCACATTGTCAGATGCATGTAGATTTATATGCATGTAGATTTACATGCATCTGATGAAGTGGGCCTTTGCCCACGAAAGCTTATGCTCCGATAAATCTGTTAGTCTGTAAGGTGACATGGGAGTTCTCGTTGTTTACTTTTGGAAAGGTCTTTCTGAATTCTAACCCTGTCCTCCAAAGGGCCTGCACCCTTCCCAGCTTGGTATCCTCTGCAACGTTTATAAGCACACATGCTACCCATTAGTCAAGTCATTAATAAATTATTGAGTGGTACTGGGCCCATGACTGAAATCTCACCAGATACCAGCCCTCTCATTTTGACAGTAAACACTCAGGGTAGTTTTCTACGAACAGCGTCCCACCTTATAGTAATTTCATCTAGACCACATTTCCCTAGTTGGCTTCTGAGAAAATCATGTAAAGCTGTGTCCAAAGCCTTACTAAAACTAAGATGTAGCCCATCTACCACTTCCCTTCCCATCCACCAGGCCAGTCACTCTGTGAAAATAGGAAATCAGGTTGGTTTGGCATGATTTGTTCTCAGGGGAGAGTGGCCCTACACTCTTCTTCATCCTCGCTTCCTCCTAATGTACTGAAAGGATCTCTTCATATTGCCTTTTACATCCTATGCTAGGTGTTCCTGATTTTGTTCCTGCATACTCGCGCCGTTCTTGTGTGCTACCCATTTGTCCATATTCTACAGATTCCTCTTCCATTTCCAGATCATTAGAGAGCTTTTGACGAAACCATGCTGGCCTCTGTCTAGAGAGAACATGTAATTTAAGAGTCCTTTATGGTTTTACTGCCTTTGCCCTATAGCTTTGTATAGTAATTATTTGTTATGACAGTAGCTCCAACTGAGATCAGGCCCCATTGTGCTGGGCTCTGCATATAAAGAGACAGTCCCCTGCCCCACAAAACTTACAATTTGAACAAGACAAGGGTGGAAAGGGAAACAGAAATGAAGTACTTTGCCCACCATCCCCCAGCAAGTCAGTGGCTAGATTGGGAATAGAACCCAGGTCTCTAAGTCATAGTCCAGCGACCTAGATATTGGTCAATGCAACCTCCCCCCATCAGTGTCAATCTCTCCCCATCTCCTATATAGAGAAAGTGAGCCACAGGGAGGTTAAGTGACACACTTAGGACCACACAGGTCAGTGGCAGAGGTGAGACTAGAACCTACAGTCCTTGCTCCAACCACCAGACCACCCCTCACTAGGCTGACATGTCCCAATAGCATTTTGCCACCCAACTAAGGATGTGGGTATAACGTCCCAGCACTCGCACATCTGTTGGCGTTGAAGTTCCTTGACTAGGCAGAGGAGAGCGCCCCTTTGGCGCATGCCCTGGCTGCTGCTGAAAGAGGCCCCTCCACCGCTGCCCCACGAGCCGCACACCCCTCTTCCCCTAGGGCAGGGCCGTGGCTGCAGGCTGCGACTTACGTGGCCGTCTTGGCGAGGATGGAGGACAGCATGGCCTGCTCATCTGTGCGGGCTGACGGGAGGCTGTGGTAGTTTTGTTCAGCTCCATTCAACACCTTGTTCGGCGGGCTGACAGCAGGCTCCAGCAGCCGTTTCGTCTCCTCTTCCTGGTGGGGAGGAAGGGGAGGAATCAGCTCAGGTTTCAGAGGAAACTCACCTGTTCCAGACTGGATGCAAGTGTGGATCTGCATCCGATCGGCCAGGATCAACTCCTCAGCTGATCCACAATCCGGATTTTACTTGTAGCCGCACAACAAATCTGGAGGGGAGGGGACACAGATGAGCAAGGAGGGGCAGGCTCCTGCAGGGAAGAGGCAGGCAGTGCTCACTAGGTGGGAGGGATGGGGGGCAGACAGGGCCGGCACTTGGCTCCTCCTGCAGGAAGATGTAGGGTGCAGTTCTCGCATCCTTTCCCTGCTAGCAGTGCAAGGCCTGCCCCAGTGGTGATGGGGGGAGGAGAGCCCTGAGCCACTCCACTATCCCTGGACATGAAGCAGACAGCCACAGACATGCAGGGCTCTATCCAGATGTGCCTAACAGCTTAGATCCCGAAGCAAACCAGCGTTATTCACTATTTTCTAATACAACCGAGTAAAAACTAGGACTGAATAATCTGATGGTAAGCTATGTAACTAGTTAACAAGTGTGTCAATATTCTCCTAGTTAGCAAAAAGTGCCCACTTCTACCAGTCAGTAAGAACCAACCTCATTCAGAAATAGCACACACACACACACACACACACACACACACACACACACCCCCTCCCCCCAAAGTGGAGGATTTCAAGTTTTCCGCTTGCTGATTTACCTTGGTCCACCCATTGCTAGGGCTCATTCCAGCAGGGTTACAGAACAGGGTGCCCCACCAGTGGGCATGACTCAGGGCCTGCTCCCGGCGTAGGCTGTTCCCTGAAGGGAGGCCTTTAGGGAACACAACTCTTCAAGAACTGTGGCTAACCTGGGAAGGTTTGATAGCAGCCACATTTGGTGCAAGTCCCAGTTACAGCACCTGATTCTCTACAGGGACCAGCAGCTGTTTAAAGAAATGCCCAGTGTTCCCAGCAGCCTGCCCACTCTCCGCTACTCTGTTTTAGTCTGATTGGTCCTAGGCTCAGTACTCTCAATTAGAACCAACTCCTTAGAATGCAGAAATGCCCCAACACACCAGCGGCACCAGCCTGACAAGCAATGAACCAGAAGCCCCCACTTCCTGCTATCCCTGCAGCCTCCCCCAATACCCAGTGGCAGAGACCAGCCGTGTAACCTGACTGGCAGGTCTAGCAGCTTGTGGAGAATGAATCCCAGGTCCAGCAGGTGGGGGCAGGGTACCCAGTATGCCTCCACTGACTCAGATGGGGCAGTATCCCACAGGGAGAGGGCCTTGCTTACAGGCTGATGGAAAGCCTGCAGCATGAAGAATGTGGCTAGTCAGAGTAGGCACACCAGAATTAACAGGCAGTCTCCAGAGCAGGTGGCCCTCACCCACACAGTTAAGCAAATGCATCCACCCACAGGAAAGAAGCCTATGCATATGCAAAGGACTGCAGGTGGGAATTGGACTCAGACCATGGCAGCACTATGGGCAATAAGACCGTCCTAGCTAGATTTGGGAGAAAAGGTCGTTTTAGGATCAGCCATAAGAACGGCCACACTGGGTCAGAGCATCTAGCCCAGTATCCTGCCTGCCAACAGTGGCCAATGCCAGATGCCCCAGAGGGAGTGAACAGAACAGGGAATCGTGATCCATCCGCTGTCATCCATTTCCAGCCTCTGCCAAACAGAGCACCATTCCTATCCATCCTGGCTAATAGCCATAGATGGACCTATCCTCCATGATATTATCTAATTCTTTTTTGAACTCTGTTAAAGTCCTGGTCTTCACAACATCATCTGGCAAGGAGTTCCACAGGTTGACTGCGCTGTGTAAAGAAATACTTCCTTTTGTTTGTTTTAAATTGGCAACTTATTAATTTCATTTGGTGACCCCCCTAGTGCTTGTGTTATGAGAACAAGTAAATAACTTTGTTATTTACTATCTCCACACCAGTCATGACTTTATGGACCTCTATCATATCCCCCCTTAGTCTCCTCTTTTCCAAGCTGAAAAGTCACGGTCTTTTTAATCTCTCTTCATATGGCTCCCATTCCAAACCCCTAATCATTTTTAGTGCCATGCCAGGTAACACATTTAAGAGTGTCCAACTACTTACACCAGTTGTTAAGCAGTGTTTTAGCTAACATACCGGATGGTCTGGATAATACGTAGTCCTGCCACAAGTGCAGGAGAATGAATTAGAATCCCTCGAGGTCCCTTCCAGTCCTAAGATTCTAGGATTTAAACATTCCTGATTTCCTTAGGCCATGCCTACACCGTGGAGCTTACAACTGCACAGCTGCTCTGCAAAAGCCATGTGGCTGCATGGCATGCTATGTAGCCCCCGTCCCCGGGAGAGAGCTCTCCTGCCAACCAAATAAAACCACTCCCAATGAGGAGGTAGCTATGTCTGCAGGAGTCTCCCCCTCCAACAAAATGCTGTCAACACTGGTGCTTCTCATTGGCAAAACATGTGTCTATCGAGGGACGGCGGAGTGGGGGGGTTCTTCACACCTGTGAGCAACAATTACCAATGAGTAGGCATAGCTTTAGTCTAGAAAGGGCTCATGACATTACACTGCAGCGAGATCAGATGGCCAAAAGCAACTTTTTCCAAGGCAAGGAGATAGTTGAAAGGCCAGAAATAGCTGTTGTATCCAGCAGGGCCACTGCCACAGTCAGCAGGGGGGAGAACAGGTCTCACCCATGTATCTGGGGGCAGCAATCAAACATACACGCTGCAGGTCTAACTGGCAACTGACCTCTAGAGGCAGCCCGCCAGCAGGCTGATCAATAAAGGCCACCCAGCACTGGGAAGAGACACTCCACTAGCTGTTCCTGTGGAACGCGATCCAAGTCCTCTTGCCAGCGCTGTCTGTGGTCTGATTAACCACACCTCCAATTTCTTCTGCCATGGACTTGGCACTTAGTGCTCTCAAAAACCATCCCTCCCAGAGCTCGGGCCTCATGGGGGTCAGTCCTTTGTTGCATGGGGCCTGGGAGGAAAGGGAGGTACAGTAAGGGAGGGATTAAGCAATGGGCTGTCAAACAGAACTAGGGACTAAAACAGGGAGCAAAGCAGAAGGCCCTGAGAGCCCAGCCACAGAGTCTGTGGCTGCCAGACAGCACAGCTGGGGCAGGAAGAGGAGAGGAGTGAAAGGAGACAGTCTGAGCCATGGCAGCAGCCAGAGGAGCGTAGGGGAGCCAGATACAGCGTTCACACCACATGGGGCAGGAGCTCAGAGGTAGGCTGTCAGGGAGACAGACCCTCCATCCAGAACAGATACAGTGGGCGACTCTCAGCAACAGGCTGGGCCCATTGTGTTCAAGGGGGTGGGGGAGCCGGACAAGACCACCCACCTGCTTTTCCTTCTCTGCTCTCCCTTTAGACCTTCTCTGACCTGCCGGGGGGACATCCAGCTCTGACCTGGCTTCCTCAGGCTCCTACACAAACTAGGCCAGTTTCTAAGCCACCTGGTGCAGCCCAGGCCTTCATGGCTCTGATGTTCTCTGCATTAGTCTCTGCTCCAAGGTGTGCTCAGTTTCCTCTTGCTGCAGTTTCAATCTTGTTAGCAGAAGAGATGGGAGCATCTCCAGGCTCTCTCTCAGCCTCCTTTCCCAGGGAGCTTTGGCTTTAGAAAAGCCCATTTCTGGGATCACTAGATGACCTTGCTCCTGTCCAGCAGCTTATGCGGGCAAGGGTTCCCAGGGGGCTATTGCTGGGTGGGCTCATCACGCTGACACCACCATGTTTCACACCAGCGACGCTGATGAGTCCCACTCACTGTGTCCTACTGTACACACACACGAGCTGTGTGGCCATGGGCTTGGAAAAGCCAGTTGCCAGTATAAGGCCGCCTCTTATTCTGCTCGCAGCAGCCAGGGAAGAGGCAGAGAACTCCTCTTGTGATGAGAGGATGCCGAAATTCAGACATCGCTTCTTCTGGATGGAGGGAAAGTGCCTCCTAGAAATTCCTGAACTCTTCTTCCC